TGAATTACATCACCAGCTTTCCTGGTTCTCCACCTTGTAGATGGCAGATTGTGGGACTTCTTGGCCTCTGTAACCACGTGGGCCAGTTCCTATAAAATAAACAAATGTATGTATATGTATTCCCATGTCCTATTGGTCCGCTTCTCTGGAGAAGCCTAACACACCTCCTTTCCCCTAGAACTGGCCTCCTTCATGCCTGTTGTCTGGCATCCTCTCCCTTTTATAATTATCCCCTGGGTTTTTCATTTCTAAATGGAGTTTACTATAAATAATTGCATGGGAAAATTTATTTTTAATAAACTGGGATTGGTTTGCCGCACTTCTCCCCTGTATTTCCAACTCCTGCCGCAGGCTCATCTATCTAGTCGTGAGTAAGACACATGTGCAGTGAACAGAGTCCTCACTTTGGCATGTGGATAATCTGAAAGATGACGAAGGATAACTTATCTCGTTTTTTCTTGACCTTTCCAGAGCAATGTCACCAACGCATAGTTTCAAAAACAGCATGAAGGGCAGTTGTTGGTAAAATAGAGCTCTCTGAGATATGATCAGATAGGGACAGCTAGTCTTTGCAGTGACCATAGGAGAAGTGGTTGACACTGCTATACTTGCTGGCTATTTGGTGTGCCAGCCAGCTTTAGAAAGGCCCTTGCAGTTTAGCAACCTGCAAGATGAAGGAAGCTGCCAGGCCACTCAGCAGAGTCAACAGAAAGCCTCGACAATCATAGGTTGAGTGTAAGATGTGCCAGAAAAGGAAGCGTTAGCAGGGCTGCCGCCGAGCACATGGAGTCATCTGCACTTCATTGCTATAATTATTTGGCCTTTACTGTATTGTACAAACCGACAACTATTTAAAAACTTTACTGTTTGGTAGCACTACTTTGTTTTTTGGATTTTTTTTCTTTTTTTTCTTTTTTTTGGACAAAATAAACCTTTTGGCAGGAATGAGCTAAAAGGAGTGAGTGTTTAATGAAAAATTAAGTACTGATTTCCCATTTCTCAAAACACTTGCTAATGAACTTGTAAAGCATGTGTCAACATTTATCATCCTCCGTGGGGCATCCACAGTGATATGCCCAACCACATGGAAACCAGAGGGCCCAGTGCTACTGGAAAAGCATCAGCACCTACTTCAAAAGTTACATGTTATTAAGAAAACTGGACCCAAAGATGGCAATCTAACATGGTTAAACCACAGCAGGATGTTTACATTTCACACTGTGACATGTGACTTTTTACTTAGATCAAATGACTGTTCTTCTAAATTAATTCTTTTCACTTCTTATTCCAGAATTTCTTGTGGCATTACATAAAGTGAAACATTAATGTGTGGGCTCCCTTAACAGAGAGAAAAAAAAAAAAAGCTTTGCAAATAGTTAAATGAAGCCAGTTTGTATCAATGAGGATACGATTGAAGACATACAGACATCTAGCGCTTACCCATATCTAGCCCTTCTCTCTTTTAGGCAACATGGGAGGAATTATTTGCCACCCTCTGCTGTACCATCTGTTACCAGTTCTAACCAAGTCTTCTGGCTATCATGGAAGTGTCACGTGTCATTTCCAGGCTGAAGCATTCAATTTCCAGTGCAAGGCTCTACAGCACTCTCTTGCCCTGCCTTGGAAACCATGAAATCCTCATGTTCCAAATGCTGAAGCAATTAAGTGACTGACTGGGCCTCCACTGGCCTGAACCTCTAAAAGACTATGAGAAGGAGACACACTCACCGACTGGCATAGAATATGTAAGCTGAGTGAGAAATAAACTCTCGCTGTGTGAGTCACACGATTGTGGAGTTGTTTGTTACCACCGTATAGCCTGTCCTAGTCTGACTAACACAGAAGAATTCCAAGGTCTTAGGAATGGGGAAGAATATTGCTGATGGGATTAAATGACATACAGCAAGAAAATGGCAGTATTTTTAAAAATTACTTGTTTTAGTTTTTCTTTGTTTAATAGGTACAGAGTTTCTGTTTGGGGTGCTGAAAAAGTTCTGGAAATAGATAATGGTGACAGCTGCACAGCATTATGAATATACTTAATGTTACTGAACTGTACATTTAAAATGGTTAAAATGGTAAATTGTATGTTATGTCTATTTTACCACAATAAAAAAAAATCAGCAAAAAAAAAAAGTGTTTCTACCAAAATCTTCCAGTAATGATAAGAGTTGAAAAAATAGGTATTCATTATTATTGTTGAGAATATAAATAGCTACTTCTTTCTACAGGCAATTTTGGTGATACTTATTAAAAAGCCTTTGAAATATGAAGTCCTTTGATTCATTTCTTCCTCTTCTGGGAATCTGACCTAAAAATAAATAATAATAATAATAATAATAATAATAATAATTGACAAAGTTCTATGTAAAATGATCGTAACTCCAATATTGTTTTGAAAAACCAAAAATGTGAAACAGTGTAAACAGGCTATGGTGGACTAAGTCATTTAGGGTATATTCATATAATTGAGCCCTACATAGCTTTTAAAAATTATAGTACAGAAGAATATTTAATAGCAAATATTGGAGAACTGCTCCAATATACAGTTGACTCTTGAACACTACAGAAGGTAAGGGCGCCGACACTCCATGCAGTCGAAAACCCCTGGGTAACTTTTGACTCTCCCAATACTTAACTACTACAGTTGCCCCTTCGGTATCTGAGGGGGATTGGTTCCAGGACTGCCCCACAGATGCCAAAACCTGAGGATGCTCGTGTATCCTATATAAAAGGGTGCAGATCAATTCATACAGCCTGCCCTCCGCATCTGCAGACTCCCAACGGCAGATTGAAAACAGTACTGGTATTTAGTGGAAAAAAATCCATGCAATTCAAACCCATGTGTTCAAAGGTCAATTGTAATCTTAGATGAAAAAGATACAAAGCCTAGGTCTTAAATTGACTACTAAGTTCCTAGATGGCAGGTTAGTTCGATAGCATTGATTCTTAATCTTTGCTGACTTTCAATTCATAAAATTGTTTTCTAAGATTAACTGTGGTTGCATGGTTACAATTTCAAGTGCTCTGAGTATCTCAGATTACATTTTATCTGGGCATAAAAACAAACGTATTAAAATGACTAAATTAAATTATTTCTTACCTTCCCTGCATTTAGGTTCCCTCCCACCATTACTCTTTCACTCTTTCCATTTGTAGGTAGTTAGTGAGAGAAGAATAGAAAAACAGAAACTTTGGTTCTGCTTTCTCTGTTATCTTAACATTACATCATCTTTCCCCAGAGCCTTTATGTTTATGCTGTTGCTATGAACATGACCTTAAAAGGATCCTTTTTGATTTTTTTTTTTTACTACTTTTCACGTCTCTAAGTTCGTTTTAGATTCTGCTTTTCCTGACATTGTTATTCAAGGATCATGCATCTCTGTAGTATTTAGGTAAATGTATATGTCTATCCATTGTCTCATATTTTGGGTTCAACAGAGCAATTTCTCTGCAGTCACTCTTGTTTTTTCAAGATCGATCTCTCCTTCTCTCTCTCTCTCTCTCTCTCTCTCTCTCTCTCTCTCTCTCTCTTTTTCTTTTCCCTATCAGAATTATTTAAGATAATAGTCTACAACTTCAGTTACAGGAACCCACAAAAGTATGTGAAAACTTTCCAAGGAGCACTGTGGGTTGGGAAATCTTTATTTTGAGATCCTCAACTTCCATTTGTCCTTTTTCCTAAAGGTTATCTGTCTGAAAAAAACATTTTGCAAGTTCCCCTACCTACTTCCCTTTTCACAATAACCCTTTTCCCAAGGAAGGCCAAAAGGCAGAAAAGCACAGGGCAAGTTCATTCATGCACATCCTTGTGACAATGTGTAAAAATCTCCAGGGAACCAAAAGGACAATTTAAAATATTTTTTTTCTGGAAGCCTTCTGTAATGATTAACCTACCATAGTGATTTTTGTCTTTCCCTGTCTATGTACATTTCTGTTAAGGGTGAGGTATAGCCTTAGAAATTCTCCCATTGAGATAATGCTGAATACATTACAGGGAAGGTGTTAGGAGTGATGACAATTTCCCTTTATTAACTTCTCTCTCCCACCCTTAAATATAATTAGAGAATGCATGGTTCTTGAGGAAGGGACACATGAAAGCAAATAAAGGCAATGTCTTTAAGAAATATTGAGTACTAGGGCCGGCCGAGTGGCTCAGTTGGTTAAGAGCTCGCTCAAGAGTTTGAGCTCTGAGCAACAGCAGTTCGAGTCCAGCCCGAGCTGAGCAGCCGCTGAGCTGCCAACAGGTAGCAGGATGGCTCAGCTTAAAAAAAAAAAAAAAAAAGAAATATTGAGCACTAAAAATGGCTCTCCTTTTCTCCTTTTTGAATGTGGTTTTTTTCTTTTTTTCAGTCTTTCCTCAATATTTCTAGAATGTGTTGTCAGCTGGAAAGAAAAGTACCTTTGAACAGATGAGTCATGTTAATTCTTTAAAGTATAACTGGAATGTATAACTACTAAGATTTTTAAGACAAAATGGATAAAGCTTGTGCAGAAAAAGTTACATGATTTATTTAAAAATAAGTTTGCATTATTCAAAAAGGAAGTTAACACTTATTTAATCAATTCATATTGTGAAATAGTTATTGACTTACTAACTTTACCTGTGCCTCAGATTCCTCCTCTGTAAAAGGGAGATGATAATAGTATTCCTTCATTGAGTTGATTTGAAGATCAAATGAGTCAACCTATAATCTATGCGAAGCACACAGAACAGTGCCTCGTGCATAGTAAGTGCTCTTCATGTTGGAATGATCCCCCCTTCCCAGTGTTTGGTCCCTCTTCTCTTTATCTGTACTTACTCCCGCGAGAATCTCACCCAGTCCCCTGGCTTTAAATATCATCTATACGCCAGTGATTCTCAAATTTATATTTCCAATGCCTCCTCGCTCCAGAATTCCAAACTCATACACTCAACAGCCTACTGGACATCGCAGGCTCACTTTCTCCAAACTAAATTGTTCTTCCCTCTCCCCAAGCCTCCTCCACTTCCAGCCTTTCCTCTGGTACTTAATGTCAACACCATCCCTCCAATTGTTCAGGTCTCCAAAACTTGGAGTTGATCTGTATTCCTTTCTTTCTCTCATACTCCACAACCAATCTGTCTTCCTGTAAAAATATATCCTGAATCTGACCATCATTCACTCCCTCCACTGCTGCCCCCTGCTGCGAGCCACTCTGATCTCTCTCCTGGATTCCTGCAATAGATCCTAACTTTCCTCGCTTCTACCCCTGCTTCCCAATAGTCTGTTTTCAACAGGGCAGCCAGAGTGATCCTTCTAAAATGAAAATCAAATCATATCATTCCTCTGCTTAAAACCCTTCAATACATCCCTCATACATAAAACAACCTAAAAAAAGATGTATAGAGATAGATTCATGCATATACATATTAATATTTCAAGATGAAAAATACGCATCAAATTGTTGCTAGTGGTTATTTTAAGGTGGTAAATTACATGTGATCATTTAAAAATATTTGCCTTTTGACCCAACAATATTATTTTTGAGAATTTACCTATAAGAAATAAATAGAATGTGCCCAAAGATTGACGCTCAAGATACGAGTCACAACAATAATTATAATAGCTAAAAATTGGAAATAGCCTGTCTAACAATATAAAAGTAGTTTAATAAATTATGGTGTAGCTAGATGATGGATTATCTGACATGTTGAACATTTTTTTAAATTAATAATACAATGATAATGACAAAAAGATTATGAAGTAGCAAGTAAACTATGAGATTAACTTTGCAAATTAAAAAATTTATATGAAGAGAGGAAAAGACAGGAAGGCTATACACTACAATATTAACAGCAGTCATCAATAGAAAACACACACAGGTGGCCATGCTCTAGAGCTGAACAGTCGTGGAAGAGCGGCTACTTCCTGTACATAAACCTGCTCGGAATTCACAAACTCAGAGCAAACGTGCAAATTCTAATCAACACTTCCTGCATCATTCTACAGTGTCCGCTTAAGCAACCATCTCTTTCGTAGGCTGCAAAAGCACTCAGTATATCACATGAACAAAAAGATATCTTAACCCTGGATTTGTTGTAAAAAAAAAAAAAAAAGATTCCTATACAGAATACTTAGCAAATAGAAAACAAAAATCCCCTAAGGCTTTTAGGAATTTAGGCCTTTTAAACCTTTACCCGATTACGATGGGTTAAACTGTTTTTTGCAATGACTGGTAAGAGTTTCCCAAGAGCTCCTTATCAGTTTTTAGCTAGTTTGAAAAGGTAGTTACAAGTGCAAGAAATAAGTTGCTTGGCATACTCAGTGACTAATATCCACTTTACAATGAAATGTTCAGTTTAAAAGTTAGTCCTTAGAATTTTAGGGTTCATGTGTTTTTGTTACTTACAGAATGAAGCAATCAAAAGAAGAAAAGAAATTCTGCATTCACAACCGTCCTTCTGCTCTATTTGGGCCTCAGCTGTCTTCACCTAGAGAACACATTAATATGATTAAGAAGTCTAAGAAGTCTTCTATCTTTATTCTTTACATATCTAAAGCATGGATTCCATTCAAGCTACCAACTTATTTTCACTGAAAAGTAAAACAAATAAACAAATAAAAAGCAGAATGAAAAGCTTCTAAGGAACAGAATGAACCACAAGGTTATAATAAATAACCTCGAATCCAAACTTGCAGATCTTTTCATGAATCGAGTAATAAAAATTCAACCACAAAATGTCTCATGTATTCAATGAAATAAACTTCAGCACATTCCTTCATTTTACCACTTGGTTTCAACACAAGTCAAGGAGGCTGCCCTTAAAAACCCACATATTTAATAATGAGACCACGAAATTTTACAGGACCTCCTTGCAAAACTAGAGGTGTATTAGAACACAGCCACTGTGTTCTTTCAGAACAAAAAAACCCCAGAATTTCCTAAACAACAGTCCCCATAAAATACGTGCTTATGACAGCCTAAGACTTTGTTGTTTGCTTTTCAGACTATTTTGGCATTCTCTGAGTACAAACTAAAATTCTCTTGTTTTCTGGAGAGAAAGGTAAAAATTACTAATGTACAAGATGAGTTTCTTACCAGTATCAAAACAAAGAAATCAAATGTAGGCTTCTGTGGGGTGAGTGTGTGCAATAAAATAGGAGTGTCCACTTTGGTCACCTCTACAGGCACCCTGTATTCACCAGGTATGTCTTTCAAATTTGAAATCTGAATGTGAATGACACCTCAATTTTTAAAAAAAATCTCTATAGGAGTATGTACAAAGAGAACATCATTTGCTCCTGGATATTTAGTCAAATCCGAGGTGGAATTTCTCTGAATTGACACTACGGTTCTCAACTTAGAAAGTGTGATGCTTTGGAGGATGTCTCGTGAAAACTATCCTAAGGTCTAAGTGTTCATTGCCTTCTTAGTGACAGTTAATTTTAAATCTACACTTTATACCAAATAGAGAGTAAATGGTTCATTGATTAAAAGAATGGACAGATTCCAACTGAAGTGTCTCATCCACTGATAACTGATCTTCAGCCTCTAGACGGTTGGGGGCTATGTCAGTGGGATCTACAACCACATAGAAGTAAAAGCACTTGTTTGTCAATACATAGTCATCCAAGTCACACAAATAATTAACCCTGAACAAGGCGAACAGCTGACATGTGGCACCTAGATGCCTCCCTCAAATTTAGAGGGCTTCACTAAAGAGGGGGTAAATATTCATGAACTTACTAAGGATGAATTTTCTGAGCGCTTGATTTCCTTATTATCGCACTGAGTTGCTGAGGCCCCTTTCCAGTTAGGAGCCTAAAACCTGACCTTCTACGTAAACTTTGCAATGAACAGATTTAAACTCAGTCCCCCCCTGCCCCTCCTTTCCTTTTCTGGGGTTTCACTGGTTGTACTGACCTCTGAGGCACCGGGTCCAGCATCTGCTGTGACGGACAATTCCCTCTAGTCGGGTTTCAGCTCTCTTCCATTGCTGCCACGTCTGCATCCATCTTTGCTAGCTTCACCCTTCTGTCCGTCATTGTGAGCCCACTCTCAACCACTTCTGTGCTGCTTTTGGGGGTGGGGGAAAGTGTTGGATGCCCAGTATACTGGTGGGGAGGGGGGAAGGTCCGCCACTCTGCCTCAGCTGTGTGGTGAGCAGGGCCTTCTCAGTGAGGCCTACTGGGTCCTCTCTGCACTGAAGCCCCTCCCGTCTTCTCCCAGGGAATGGCCTGTTCTCTTAGCTGACCGAGGAGAGTGGGCAGAGGGCACGACATCTAAATGCTAGTCATGCCCTCGGATCTTCTGCCTTTTGTTTCCTTCTGATAGACAATTCCATACCTCCCAACTCTTTGCTTCATGTGTAAACGCTCTGCCCTGAGCCCTCCAAGCCCTTACTCATTTAGGACTCAAAAACCATGTTTCCTCTTTCAAGAAACTTGCCCTTATAATAAAAAGCAACCGTTTCAGCTTTCATTTCAGAATTGTACTCGGAAACTTTGGTGTCCTCTTTGTTCTTGGCTGTGCTCACCTCACCCTGGAGCAACGAATCCTATTGATTCAGTGGGTCAGGGTGGAGGACTGGTGGTGGGGAAGAGGACCAAAAGGCCTGTGAAGAGAAACGTTATTTTCTCCAAATTGCATTCTACCACATTCATCAGGAAGTGTGTTTATTAGTCAGTATGTGATAAATCGTCATTGAGGCAATACCAGCCCCCTAGTGGGCATTTGGAAATGTGCAGGACATTTTTAGTGGTCACAGTGACTTGGGGACTCATTGGCATTTGATGGGGGGAGAGTAGGGATGGCACATATTCTGCAATGTGCAGGACAGTTCCATGCAAAATGCCAGTAGCTCCCTGCTGAAATATGCCAGACATTCTGCTCTGTCGGGGCTTTTTCCGGTCTCTGACCCCATTTATGTTACTACACAGCACAGCTCCAGGGCCCTCCCCTTCGGATCAGGCCCTCCTCACTTACTTCTGAGCCTCGCTCTTTTCCTCGCCACAGTTCCATGGGACTAGCTGACTCCCTCTGCAGCTTTTGCATCTCTCCAGCCTGAGCTGTGTGGGGGAGGAGCAAGGTGCTCTATCAGGACGTACAGCTACAGGTGTTCTCTCCTCTGGCTGCAAGTCCCTCCTCCGTCCTGAAGTGCCCACAGACTGGTTTAAGGATTTCACTCTGAGCTTGCTTGGCCATATCCTATAGGGAAAATACACACGAGTTCTTCTCTTGCTTCCCATGATCATTTCTATCATTGCTATGTGCAGCAGAGGATGTGACAGACCCCAAACTTTAGTCTGGTCACTATGACTTTGAGCCAGCCCCAGACAGCTTAGTTTTCTATTTGTAACAATGAAAGAATTGGCCTAGATGAACTCTAAAGGCATTTCAACTCTGTGTTTCTATGAAGAAAAAATAGCATTTGTTATGTAATTTTGGCACATGTTACATTTCTTCCTTCACAAAGGTCCTTTACTCTTTTTGCTCATAATTTAAGAGTCGGTGGAATAGTCAGCAAAGGAAATGGCAAATATGAAACTAAATTTTCATACAATTTTGTGTAATGTGTCAGTTAATTATCAAGCCATATGTAGTAAAAAAACAACAACAACATACATTTTAAGTTATTATTCTGTTTTCCTCAAAGGATTAACCTCTCATCTGTCCTTGTTTTATTAACACATTTATGAAATATTTATTAATCATCTACCGTGTGCCAGGCACTCTTCTAGATACACCAGCATTGAAAATATAATGGTGAAGAAAACAAACACTACTTACATGGAGTTCGCATTCTAGATCATCAGTTCTCAAAGTGTGGTCCATGAAAAATATCTCAGAGAGGCCAAAAGGTCTAAAATATTTTCTTAATAACACTAAGGCATTATTTGAATTTTTTCAGTGTGTTCACATTTGCACTGAAAGTACAAAAACAATGGTGGGTTAAATCGCAAGAGCCTTGGCATGAATTAAAGCATTGGTAGTTACTATATTCTCCACCACCACACACTTACAGGAAAAGAAAAAGTCAGTTTCATTTAAGAAGTCTTTAAGCAATAAAAAACACTGACTTTTATATTAAACTTCACCCCTTGAGTACACATCTTTTCAAAATTCTGTGTGGCAAAACGAGAAATACACACAAAGCACTTGCTACACACAGAGGTCTGATGGTTGTCTTGAGGAAAAGCACGAGTGATTGTTTGAATTGTGTGCTGAACTAGCTGCTTTTAAAAATGAAACCCCATCTTTACTTGAAAGAACAATTGAAAACAAACCATGTTTTTTTAGACTTGAAAATCTGGCAGACATTTTTCTAAAAACAAGCCAAGTAAACCTGCATCTTCTAGGAAAATAACTGACAGTATTTGTTGCCAATGATAAAATTCGACCATTCAGGCAAAAATCAGAATTTTGGAAGCTCTGTATCCACCTGTCAGCTTGACAGCTTCCCAAAACACAGAGAATTTCTGATGAGATGGGTGGCAAGATTAACACATGTGATTTTTTGATACTGTGTAATAAAATTTGTCAACAGTTGGAAGATATACATAGCTAGCACTATTTTCCAAATGACCAATACATAATGTTACAAAATCAGGCATGGGTTAAAGATCCATTAAAGGTGTGAGATAGGGGCCGGCCAAGTGGCGCATTGGTTAAGAGCTGGCTTGGGACGCCAGGTCTGAGCAGCAGGGCCCCGGTTCAGATCCCACATGAGGGCCAGTGATGCTGCGCCCTCTACAGCTGAGATGGTGAATAACAGCTAGACCTGGAGCTGGGCTGCCATGAGTTACCTGCAACGGTGTGGGCTGCAGTGGGGCTGGCCTGCATCTAGCACGCACTTTTGTGAGCTGCCATGAGCCGCTCTGAGCAGCTGTCCAATGGCTGGCGAGTGACTGCCTCACCCAGGAAGAGTGTAATGATAATACCAACATGGGCCAGTGAAGCGACATCCTCCACAACCAGATTGAAGAACAAAAGGACAGCAATTTGTCTGTTCCCCTCCCCCAATTCCCCAATAAAATCTTTAAAAAAAAAAAAAGGTGTGAGATAGACAACTAAATTTTAATATAACAGTATGAAAAGTTCATTGATATATTTTCATATTCCATATTGTAACTAGCCTTTAAGAAATTATTCTTTGTTGAGCATTATATGAAACAAAAATATCCTCAATCATCCAAAAAATGTTATTAAAATACTCCTCATACATATATGTATGGAGAAAGACAAACATTTGCTATCAAATGATTCTCCTTATTACATTTCCATTTGCTATGATGAAAGGAATTTCTGCTCTTTCCGCCAATGTCATCAAACAGTTTGATATTAAACATTTTGGACCAAAAAGCAAGGTTTTGAAATTGCAATTAAACATAATAGATTGCTGTCTTTTCCATCTCTTTTTGCTTTATCAAAGGTATCCGACAAAGCTACATCCCAGTCCCCTATTACTTATCCTTATTCCTTGGATGGCACTAATTCATCTCCATATTTTTTACCGGGATAAAAACCATTCTAGGATAATCTCTCCCTAAATCACTGAAGTATACAACTAAAGCAACCTGAAGTGGGGGAACCCACTAAAGTAATATCAAATAATAATCACCTTCTTTGTGCCAGGTGCTTTTTATACATAGTATTGGTTTTTTTGTTTGTTTGTTTGTTTTTTAAAGATTTTTATTGGGGAATTGGGGGTATGGGAACAGCGCTGGGGAATTGGGGAAGGGGATCAGACAAGTTGCTCTCCTTTTTGTTCTTCAGTCTAGTTGGGGAGGACGTCGCCTCACTGGCCCAAGTTGGCACCATCATTGTGCTCTTCCCGGGTGAGGCAGATCAGTTGCCGGCTTCTGGATGGCCACTCACGCTGGCTGCTGGCTACACACGGTAGCCCATGGCAACCCACTGCCAAAGGGGCTGCAGCCTACGCTGTCGCCGGCGACTCACAGCAGCCCAGCTCCAGGTTGAGCTGTTGTTCACCATCTTAGCTGTGGAGAGCAGTGTCACTGGCCATCACATGTGGGATCCGAACCAGGGCCCTCTGGCATCCCAAGCCAGTTCTTAACCATCGCACTACTCGGCCGGCCCTATACATAGTACTGTTAATCTCACAAGAACATACAAGGTGGGATTTATTGTACCCATTTTACAGATGAGGTAACTAAGGTTCAAAAAATCTACCTGCGGTCAGGTTGCTAATAAGTGGTAAACCTGGAAATCAAAACCAGGACTCTGTGCCTCAGTATTATTGATCAAATGGTCAGAACTAATAAATGTAGAACTGAACTTGAAATCAAGTCTCCTGATATAGTACTCTTCCCATTACACCATGTATCGCATGGATAATTTGTTACTTCAAATAATAATAATAAAAGTGATAATAATCACAATACCAAGAGAGTAAGAAAGCAACCCACGGAATGGGAGAAATATATACAAAGCATGTATCTGATAAAGGATTAACATCCAGAATACAGAGAAAACCCTCAGAAATCACCAACAAAAGAACAAACAACCTGATTCAAAAATCATCAATGGACTTGAATAGACATTTCGCCAAAGAAGATATACAAATGGCCCATAAGCACATGGAAAGAAGCTCAACAACACTAACCATTAGGGAAGCGTAAATCAAAACTACATTGAGACACCATCACTCACCTAGTAGGGAAGCTAATATTAAAAAAAAAAAAAAAAAAAAAAAGGGGCCGGCCGAGTGGCGCGATGGTTAAGAACTGGCTTGGGACGCCAGAGGGCCCCGGTTTGGATCCCACATATTAGGGCCAGTGACACTGCCCTCCACAGCTAAGATGCTGAACAACAGCTCAACCTGGAGCTGGGCAGCCGTGAGTCGCAGAAGCTGGCAACTGATCTGCCTCACCCAGGAAGAGTGCAATGATGGTACCAACTTGGGCCAGTGAAGCAATGTCCTCCACAACTAGACTGAAGAACAAAATGACAACAACTTATCTGTTCCCTTCCCCCAATTCCCCAATAAAAATCTTTAAAAAGAAAAGAACAAGTGTTAGTGCGGATTTGGAGAAATTAGAACCCTTGTGCACTGTTGGTGGGAAACTAAAGTGGTACAGCAGCTGTGGAAAACAGTGTGCTGGCATTACCATATGATCCAGCAATTCCACTTCTGAGTATATACCCTAAAGAACTGAAAGCACAGTCTGCACATCCGTGTTCATAGCAGCACTATTCACAAGAGCTAAAACTCAGGTTCACAGAAAAACCTGCCCATGGATGGTGACGCCCATTGACATCTCAGACACACCCACTTACCCCATCATATCTGTCTTCCCCCCAGCCCCCCCACCCCCCGCTCTGCCTATCTTGGTTAATGGCACCATCATGTACCTACCTAGCTGCTTATGGTAAAAGTTTTGGCATCGCCTCCACTTTCTCCCCTTTCCCTATGTCCTTGCTGTTCCTACCATATAATTATTTCGAGTCCTGTAGATTCTGCTCTCCACGCATCTTCCAAATCTTCCTTTTTCTCTGGTCCTCGTGACACTGCCTTCAGCTCAGTGTATCAGACAAGTTGGTGCCTTCTTTTATTCTAGTCACTGTTCTGAATATTGGAGATGAAGAATGAATAAAGCATACTTCCCGAGGCCCAGGAACTCACTTTACTGTCAAGAAGACAAACAGATTATTTTATTTATTCAGTAGGGAACATGCTAACAGAGTTATGGATACGGAACTATGAGAAATCTGAGAAAGAATGCTTTGCCTAAACTAGCAATTCAGTGAAGCTTTTGTGGAAATGGAGAATCTTGAGCTGAGTAAAGATGATACAGAGTGAGCAGAGGGAGAGAGAGCAGCCTTAGTAAAGGTGTGCACGAAGGCAGTGAAGGAGGAGGGGTGAAGGCTGAGGATAGAGAGGTTAAGTGGAAGCCAAATCCTGTAGCCTGGACTTAATTAGAAGCTTACCCATAAACTTACAGGACTGTAGTTTCAAACTGGGCTCTGCAAAGGTCCTCAAGAGTTCACTGAGGGGGGGCCAAATGTGCTTCATGGTCTTGGTCTGACACCTCCTTCAACAGGAGAAGCTCAGCTAACTTTCATCCCTTCATTTGCATAATACTTCCCTTACTAAAGGTGGGTATCTTTGTCTGGGAGAGCATAAGCACTAAACAGTTTAAGCTAACTCTGCTCTGAAGAGAAATCATAGCATGAGACATTCAGTTATCATTTGCGCATGTTTCTTATGACCTGGTTCATATCCAATCAAAGCTGTGCACCAAAAGTAGGTCGCAGGAATCTACTGTGACCACTAGCTTTCCACCAAGTTAAAAAACAAATGAACAAACAAACAAAAACAAAAACCTTCCCAGGGCTTGTCACCACAACTTAAGATCTATCCTTTAAGATCTATTTCACCAAGAAAAACATTGCATTTGCTCTCTTTCCTAAACTCGGCTGTAGGAGACAGCCAAACTCAGCCCTTACTGTTGCACTCTCAAGGCAGACAGTAGTTTATTTGGGAGGTGTACGTTTATTTATTAGACGTCAGTAGGCAGAGAAGGAAAGACTTCTTGTCTCCTTTCTCCCCAGTTATAGGCCTCAAGATCCAAGCACTGTAAGATTTATGTGACTGGCAGGAAAGAGTGGCTCCTTTGAGAACTATTAAGAGTTCCCTTCTAGGGGAAGCTGGAATAATAATAACACAATGAGGGCTTAATATGTTCCAGGCTCCATAAGTGCATTAACTCATTTAATCCTTACAACAAAACTAAGAGATAGGTGCTGTGTGATCCTCATTTTATGGATGAGGAAACTCAGGTACAGAAGTTAAGTACCTTAACTTGTTCAAGATACCTAGGTGGTAAGTGCCAGGGCTAGGCTTCAAACCCAGACAGGCTGGCTCCAGCATTTGATCTCATAATCACCGAGCTATAGTATCTCCTTATAGGTGGGTCTTAAGCAGAGTCCTTTAGTGCAAAGGTCGTAAAAGGCCGATCTCAGGACACCTAGCCTGTGACCAGGGCTGTCTTTTTAAAGTCAATTTGTGTCATCTCTGCCATTCAAAAAGAAAGCCTATACCTTCAGGGTCCAGTTCTTCCAAATCAATTCATGTATTTCTAAGGGTCGATTCTAATTGGCTAAACAATTTATTTTTTTGGTCCAGGGAGGACACTGTAACTAAACATTCTTGAGGCTTTTAGCCACCAAGGAAACCTCAAATGATCTTTAATTCATTTACTCAAATAGTATATTCTAAACCAAACAACCTCAGTGTGTAAACCTGTACAATTAAGTTATCATCTCTGGGTACGAGGTACTGATATTATCTAAAAGCCCTTCAAATGATTCTAAAATACAGAGTTGAGAACAAGTCTCCAAACCACAAGATAAAACGAACAGGATCACACAAAAAGATGAATCGTCATAGAAGGTATAAACACAAGATAGCTCCTGTCAAGCATGCTGTTTATCCTTTGTTAATGAACTTCCTGTGAGTTTTCCCCCCATTAATCTTCAACTTCTGCACATTGGAAAGTTGACTAAGAGCCCTTCAGTTGGTTTTGCTTCCTTGTTTGGCGTGTGTGGTTTGTTGACAAGCTGCCCAAAACATGGTAAAAAACAACCACAATTTAACCTGCTTCCAGTCAGCAGTGGTTTTCTACATCAGTGAGGTTTTTCTTAGAACCGTAAAAGAGAGTGAAAAAGAATACATAGATGAAGGAATCAAATACACTCTCAAAGGTAAAAGATCACAGTTTTGGTTGTGAGGGGAAAAAATGCTAATGTGAACAAAGGAGTGATGCTTTCAATATTTTTAAAGAAACTTTTGACTAAGGATCAAGAAGTAAAATCTACGTTCTGCATTTGTTTTGCATCATATTTCAGGTTTCTTTATGATGGGATATAGGGATATTTTATAAGGGGAGCAAGGTAATACAATAAATACAGTTAACCTTCAATAAATGTAAATAGTCTTGAGTAATTCCAAGTCTCAATTAGGAATAAGGCAATAAAGAAAAACAGTAATTAAAATATATTTTCTATTCTAGTTTCTTAAGGTGACCAGATGTCCCATATTATTTGTGTCAGTTCCATTTTTTAAAAAATGAATTATCCTAAGGTAGAGGGTCTCTAAGCCATAGATAAACTACAAAGAAATTCAAATAACCTGTGATTGCTCTATCTGGATTAATCACATTTTAACTATTGAGATCTAGTAGCTCACAGAGTTATCTGAAGTATTTCACAAAAGGCAGATAGCATCCCTTGCACTTTTTTTTTTTTGGCAGTAGGCACTGCCCACAGGTTGATACTATAGGTGATGAGGAAACAACTGAAGACTTCTTTCATTTGTCACCCTCTCTCCACTTACTGCCAAGTCCTTCCTCCATCTCAGCCTATATAGACTTGGTAATAATAATATGTCCACTTCAAGCTTCAAGCAGTGTAGGCGTTTTAGGTATTTGGGTTATTTCAACAAACCAAACAGAGCACAAAACAAAACAAAAGAAACCTTACCCCTGTGGAATGGGAAAGTACACCCTGGAGCTAAAATAATCTGTAAAGTGAAGTGCTTCAGCTACTGGAGGGACTCACAGAGGTGACCAGAACAATGCAATCTAAGTGCTTCCCCACCAACCCAAATTTCTGGAGAGGAAGTTGGGAGGTCTCCCTTTGCTTTTTGGAGGGAGGTTCCAGCCAATTACTTTAGACATTCATAGGATTAGTTGAATACACTTCTGATCAATGCTTAAAGGGGTTAGTGACCTAATTTTTATTTTAATAATCCAGATAAGTTTTGAATGTCTCTAGATAATAGTACTAATGCATAGCATTAAATACATATTTTATACATCAAATGCTTTTATACATATTATCTCATTTAATGGTTATATCAATTTTGTGTCCAAAGTAGGAAAGGTGGTTTTGTTAGGTCTTTTTACAAATGACTCTTAAGGAAAAGTTATTGGATGGGCCAGAGAGGACCACACCTGGACAAGAATGCACTTTTTTTTTTTCTTGGTAGTCCAGTGGCCTCTTCATGTTCTTACTACATCCTACTAGGTCTAGTTTTACAGTTGTGTTAGGGAAATACCATATAGTTAAGTCTTAAACTGTTTCGTATAGAAAGTTATCAATTGAAGATGGGAGAGAAATAAGGACCTTTAATGGTTACGAAAGTCTTGCAAAACCTAGGAAGGAAGTGTACTTTCCATTACAATTAAAAAAAAGTTTGAGTCCTTACTTTGAGCTGGACTCTGCTAGGCAGGTGCAAAGCTGAAAAAATGATTAAGAATAGGTCCTGCCTTTGACAAGCTTTCTGACTAGGCGAGGTCACCATCTAGGGTTCTGGACTCCTGAAGAATGGATTAGGATTTACATAGGTAGGTCCTCAGAGGAAGAAGGGGTTCAGACAGTCAGATCAAAAGAGAAGGCCAAAAGGCATGCAAATGATGGACTTTTGAGAACTGAAGGAGCCCTCAAAGTTTGTTAGTTTGATACACAAATGTTCTGTTGTTTTTTGGTTTCTTAGGAAGTAAAACATTCACCATCAATATGTTTGAAACAGGGAACATAAATGACTTTTTAGCTGTGATTCCTATGCCCGTCCTTCCACCCCCTGCTAGAATTTAGAATCCATCCCTTACAGGCCACACTCGAGTGCAGAAAATCATTTTCTATGTTACACCGAACAGTGTCATGCATCCAACAGTGAAATAAACCCTAAGCTCATTTTAAAACTGAACGGACAGGGAACTTGCGCCTATGCCACCATCTGGTTGTGTGATCTTGGGCCAGGAACTTCTCAGGATGTCTCCTTTTCGGTCTTGAAGATGAGTATGCTCCAAAGGTTCACCTTACAGGGTTTTGTAAGGATGATTTACAACAACGCCAGTGACAGCCATTTCCTCCACCACACCTAACGTGCTATTGTTATCTCTGGGTTCTTTCCTGTCTTGCTATTTTGAGACTTGCTGCATCACGATCCAAAGGCCTTAAGCATGACCACAAACGCCCGACCTTCTTTCCTCATACCCACCCACGTCCCTTACAGGCAGGTGCAGCTTGGTGCTGTCTGGGTCTGCAGAGTGAGGTCTTGTGGCTGAAGTCACAAGGTCCTGAAGGCCAAGGAAGAGGGATAGGAAGCTCTGGTTTCAGCCGGGGCGGGGAGGGGGCGTGGGGTTAGAGCAGTGAAAGCAGAAGACGACATCAGGGACGGTGGTCCGCGCGCACGCGCACTGGCTGCCCCGCGCCTCCCCTCCCAGAGCAGACCACGACATGTACACGTCCGGCGCGGTGACGTCCGCGTAGCGTGAGCCGTCGGTAGGAGCGTGCAGGGGCAGGGATGTGCGTCGTGGTCTGCGGAGCCCGTCGTTCCGGAAGGGGGCGGGGCTTCCGCTTGGCCGAGGTGGGCTCGCCTCCCCGCGGAAGAGGGCTGACTCTCCTTCCTCGCGTTTCGCGCTGTCGTTAGGTGGGTGGACGTGCAGCCATCGAGGCAGTTTCCTCTCTCTAGCTAGCAGAGCCTTTTCCTTTTGGTTATACAAGCGCAGGCTTAGGGCGGTGACGCTGTCATGCCGAACTCGCGGCCCAGGCCCCGCCGGGGCGCCAGGATTGGCGCCGGAGCCGCCGGGCGGGACGAGCTGGTGTCACGGTCCTTGCAGAGCGCCGAGCACTGCATGCGCGCCCAGGACTTCGGCACCGCCTATGCCCACTACCTCCTCGTGCTCAGCCTGAAGCCGGAGCTGAAAGACGGCGTGAAGGTGAGGAGGGCCCTTCGTTCTCTCACTTGCCTGCAGATCCTCTGTTCTTTTTGTAAAAAAATACCGTATACATAAATAAATTGGGGGAAGGGGCTAAGGTGGGTGGCCGGTGGCTGCTGTTAATAGGTGCAGTTCAGCCCTGACTCCTTTCATTGGTTCACACCCACAGCCAGCCCGTCTGAAAATCCTTCCTGCTCCGCGTTCACAATAGTGTATATTCCAGAATCTTAGCACTTCCCACCACCGCCTTCTTTACTACCCTGGTTCAAGCCTCCATCATCTGTAGACGGTTGCAGTAGACATGCACCCAGGCTTTCTCCTAGAGTCTTAATCACAACACAGCCAGTGTGAGCTTTTCGCAACAAAGTCAGATGACATCACTTCTCTATTTAAAAACTTCCTTCTCACTCAAATTCCTAAAGCTGTATTGCAAATGGAGCCTCAGGTGATCTTCTCCCACCTCTTATATTGAATGCTACCAGTCTCTGCCTCAGGCCTTTGCACTTGTCCCTGTTGTGTGTAGAAGAAATGTTGTGGGTTTCTGTCGTTGAATAAAGTTTGAAATTAGCCTAATCGTTTGACGATGGATGCTTTAGGCTTCAATTATCGGATTATTTGTTACAGTTATTGTGTTGAAATGCTGTACATTTTTCAAGTTGTTTTATAATCTAAATTTCAAGAAATGATTTAATTTAGCATTCAGTTTTCAGCCTCAAGTTACTTTGCTTTATTTCATTCAGGATTTCTCAACCTTAGTACTGTTGACATTTTGAATGGGATAATTTTTTGTCGTGGAGTGCTGTTCTGTGCACGTAGCGTGTTTAGCAACATCCCTGGCCTCCATCCAGTAGGTATCAGTAGCATCTAGACATTTGCATTTCACATAAATTTAGGGTAAATTTCAGGACCAGCTGGCTTAAAGGAGGTGATATGTTAGATACAGTAGGCAGCAGCAGAATAACGGATCAATCTGAGTGCTATTTCCTCTATTCTTTGTTCCTTAGTTTCCTCTTGTAAAACAGGGACAAAACCTGTCTTATAAATATTTAATATGTACTAGAAATATATAAAATTCATATTTCCTTGCCTGGCATTCAGTAGGGTTCAGTAACTTAACTGTTTCCTGCAGAACAAAGTCCATATTTCTTTGCATGGGTCTTTGCAAAAGACCTATCTCTTTAGTCTTATTTCCTGCTACTCCCCATACCCACCCTTCAGCCACACCAACCTACTTACCTATTAATTGACTCCCTGATCCATTTCGTATAATCTGTGCCTTTTGCCCCCTCGCACCCTGGAATCGTCTTCCCTCTTCTTGTCTCTGTAGTAAACTTCATCAGAATTCAGTGTCAGGTATCAACTCTTCTGTATAAAATATGTGAAGATGATGTAGAAAGTGTTCACGATAAACTTGGAAGTACTAAAGCCTTCTCTCATTCCACTGTGTTGCGGTGTGGAGAATGTCTGGAGGGAGGTATAATTGGAATGAGGGTGACAGTGGAACAGCTATTGCTGTAGCCCAGTAAGTGGCTAAAAGGGCCAGGTTATGGTGTAACACTGGGGATGGAGAGGAGGTGACAAAGTTAAAGGTATTGAGAGAGAATTGGCTGGGTTTGAAACCAGTTGTGTTGGAGTTAAGGTAGCATTATAAAGTGACTTCATGATTTGTGTTTGGGTGGCTCCTTAACTTTATATCCTGTGTGAGAGGAAGATGATGGGGCTCAGTTTAGAACGTTTCGAAATTTTTTTCAAAATTGTATGTTATTCCCTCTAGAGGCCTCTGTGAAGCTAGGAACAGGATTTGTGCTGTTCGTTGCTATTCTTTGCACACTGATTGTTCAGGAGATGGCTGAGGGCACAATCCTGGTTGAGATTACTGATAGGAAGTTGTCTTTATGAGTCTGAGATTCAGAAGAGAGGGTCTTGATTAGAGATGTAGCGTTCATTAGCCCATAGCTGGTGGCTAATGCACTGGGGATGGATGAGAGAAAAGGGCCAAGGACAAACTCCTAAAACTTAGGAGCCCACAAAAAAGAAGTAGGTGGAGAACGTGATACAGCAGCTAAGAATAGAGTTTAGAGAGTGGTCAAACTGTCTAATTCTGCATGTTATTGCCATGAAAGTGCTAAAATTTATTCATTTATGTATTTGTTTAGCAAACAGTGCCTATTCAAGTTAAATAATTTACAGTGATTGCTCAATAATAGTTAAGTTTTATTTTCTGTGGAATCTTCAACCAGTGTTGTATCTTCTTTCATAATTTTTATTATTGACTCATTTGCTGTTTTTT